CATGCTTTCTCCATGGGCTTTACAGTGCCTGGTATCTGTGACTAGAATAGGAAGATCGCTATATATCTGCTTGACTAACTTCCTTGTCTCCTTCAAGTCTTTGCTCAAATGCCATCTTCTCAATAAAGCCCAGATTGACCACTTTATTTAGTATTGCAACTTGGCAACCCACCTCAATCTCTTTTAATGTGCTCAACTTTTAAGATTTTCCATATCACCTATGACTTTCTAGTATACTATGTAATTTACTTATCTGTTAGATCTATTTATTGTCTGTCTCCCTCTGCTGGAATATAAGCTTTATGAGGGCAGCCTCAATGTTTTGCTCATTCATATCTGAAGCACCTTGAATAACACCTAACACATAATAGAAATTCTTTAAATATGTATTGACTTAAATGAATGAAACAGGGACCAAAGTGCAACTCCCCACCCCTACCTGGACAACCTATAAGCTCAATAAAATCCCAGTTCTCAATCCTTTTAGGAGCTCTGATAAGTGCTCTGAATGAAGGGTTCACTCTGAAGTGGATATAACAGTATTCTCTGGGCTGAATCAACAAGTCATCTGGGTAGATCATGATAGTGTGGGAATAAAGAATAGAGGAATAAACAGAGTTTGGGACCTGAAGGTTAGGCTTCTGAGCTTTCCAGATGTCTACCCAGGAGTTCTTGATGGCAATATTCTTGGTAAGAAAAGTTTTGAGGGCCGGGCGAGGGGCTCGTTGGTTAAGAGCTGGCTTGGGATGCCAGAGGGCCCCAGTTGAGATCCCACATATGAGGGTCAGTGACACTGCCCTCCACAGCTAAGCTGCTGAACAACAGCTCAACCTGGAGCTGGGCTGCTGTGAGTCGCCAGCGACGGCGTAGGCTGCAGCCCCTGTGGCAGTGGGTTGCCATGGGCTACCATGTGTAGCCGACAGCCAGCGTGAGTGGCCAGCAGCCGCAGTGAGCGGCCGTATAGAAGTAGGCAACTGATCTACCTTGCCCGGGAAGAGCGCAATGATGGTGCCAACTTGGGCCAGTGAAGCAACGTCCTCCAGAACTAGACTGAAGAACAAAACGACAGCAACTTATCTGTTCCCCTTCCCCCAACTCCCCAGCGCTGTTCCCATCACCCAATTCCCCAATAAAAATCTTAAAAAAAAGAAAAAAAGAGTTTTGACAATATTTGTGATGATCAAAGCCCGATATCTTAGAAGCACTAGGTAACATTGCACCCTTTCTGCAAGAACTTGTTGTTTCAAAGAGCTTGTCTTTTTATTTTTTCTTTGGTATTGTAAAAATGGTAAATTTTTTTAAAAAAAAAACAACTACTTTACAAAGAGTGAAATACAAAAAGAATCCTCACCTTTATGTTCAAGTGCAAATTTATAACAAAATGGGAAACTCAGATAGGATGCATTCATAGCTGGAGGAAGATTACTAGTCAGAATTGTCCAACAGAGATTTGATTTATTGTTTTCCATTCAAGGAGCCAAAATTATGTCTTAACAAAAGCAAAATAAGCCATTGTTCATTTCGACGGCATGGGAGTGACTCACCAAAGTACGTTAATTTAGTAATAATAGAAACTGTTTTAAGACAGAACACTCTCAATGAACAAATACAAAGCAAAGTATGAATATTTTTGTTACTTGTGTAGGGCACAGCTAGAGGACCTCCTCAGATGCTCTTGGCCTCACGTTTCTCCAGCTCTCTGAACTACTTGCCCTGCCTCAATTGCCCCAAGTGACTGACCCAATCAGTGTAGGCCTCCTGGAACAGGTCAGCCACAAGCTTAATCCTCTGGCCAACACAGTGCAGCCTGGGAAGCAGAACCATGATAAGGATGCTGAATAAGGAATTTATTAGAGGAGTTAGACCTCCACATTTGTGGGAGGAGCTTGGGAAGTAAGAATCTGAAAAGCGGTTGTTGAAGGATCAGAGACCAGCTCTGACACAAAGGAGTCAAAGCTTGTCAGAAAATCTGGAAGCTGGGTGCAATCCAGCTGCTGGACTGGGACCACAAGGAGGGCTGGTGGAGAAGGCTACAGGAGTTTGTGGACTCCTTGTCACCACCACCTCTGTGAGTCTGTGAAGAGTCTGTTAGCCCAGATGTGGCCTCAGTTATTCAGCAGAGAGAACACAGAAGAAACAAACAAGAATCCTCTTGCCTCTGGATAGTTTTCTCTTGGCATCTCTAACCAATGACAACTTTTAGAGTTTAATGGCTGCTGCTTCATTTTATTTGAAATGAAACTCAAATCTCAGGAAACTGCAGTTTTGTTTATCTAAACAAATATAGACCTGTAAGCCTATAGGGAAGTGTATTCTGGGAAACAGTTTCCAGCATAACCAAGTTGCCTATAGAACAATCCAGCACAAACACCATATCATACTGGCTGCTAAGCATGGAGTTTGTTTCTCTAGTTGTCAAAGATGTCAGAACACTCAGCCTGGAAGCTGGAGTTCCCCTCCAGTGGGGTAAACTTTGACTAGTGGGAGATAGGAGATGGAAGAGAGCTTGCAGGTAGGTTTCTTCTTTGGACCTTGCTGTAATAAATTGTTCCTAGGGTCAGTTTTCTCTAGAACCTGTCCACAAACACTCCACATGGCCAAGCAGCTGACTGTGTCTTTTCAGGTTCATGAAACATAGATAGGGTTCGTAACAATACAGCATGTATTTGCTTCCCATTCTTCCCTGTTGCAAGTCCTCTTGTTCTCTTTTCATCACTCTTGATGCCCTGGGATTGCATCTTTCCATGAAGCATTCACATTTCCTGAGAAACCCCAGGTAAAATGGTACCCATAGAAAAACTGCAATGAAAATGAAGTGTGAGAATTGTATGAAAAGAATTGATGGTGGGGACTATGATTGGTGTGAGGTTCAGTTTATTTGCCTGTTATGAAATTATAGCATTAATAGTGTTTTAAGAATATCATTATTTTCCTACACTGAAAAAGTCCATGAATAAGTCTTTCTCTGAGACAAAAGTCCATGAACAAGTATTTCTCCGAGACAAATAAGACAAATGGATCAGGGAGCAGATATCCTTTTAGCCAACATGACTTGTGACCTAAACCCTCAGCAGGGATATAAACTTGCTGATGAAATGGAAACATTGCTCTCTAGCAACTTTTGAGCAATAACCCTGCAGTAGCTCAAAAATGAATATAAATAAATAAATAAAAACAGTGAAAAGCCTGTGATTCATATTTACATATCTATACCAGTCTGGGTTTTCAAAATATTGTGATACAGAGTGAAGCAACTGCCTTGATATGTAGTGTCAGCTCTCTTTAATCTATTTCCCCAAATGGATGGGCATAGTTCCATCAAATCGTATTTGGTCATTAATCAATGAATGAGGCAGGTAATAGACTTTTCCCCTGATATTGCAAACTTATGTTTAAAATAATAAACCATGGAAATACTATAGAATAGAGAGAAAAGTGTGTAAGCATTCTTACCTTAAGATAAAACATGAGAGCTGAGTGGTGATAGTTCTTTCTCCACTCTCATAGTTTATGGTTCTCTGCAATTAGAGTTTCAGTGAAAAAAAAAATTGAAAAGTAGTTCGTTAGGTGAAAGACTTTGTGTGCTCTCTCGCATCTCTTTTTACACTTTTATATTTTCTTCAACAAAGGGTTTGGCTTTTTTTCTTTTCTTTTCTTTTTAGAGGCCGTAGAGATTCTGTCAGTGGAACCTGGATGAAAGGGGTAAAAAAAAGTGGTGATGATAAGTGCAGGTAAGCACCCCCCAGTCCTTCACCTGAGGAGTCTGTCTTCACAGGGAAGAAGTTAAGGTGAAACTTTGATGTGTCACAGGGTCCAGCATTTATTATTTTATGATAGGACACTATGAGAACGTTACTAGTTAGGGTGGAAGGAGTTAATTAAAAACGTGGAACTGGAGATTCAAAAGAAATTGTATGTGAGACAAAGTGCATATAATTGGCTATATTCCATAGCAAACCAGGATTTTATCAACACAAAGATCAGTGAAATGCCACCACAGTTGCCTCAGTGGATAGCAATATCTTCAGTTTTTGAAGGCACACTTCCTCCCCCACTCATCCAATCTGGACCCCTAAAAAGCCCACAAAGCACTCCAGTGCCGTTTCTGTAATAGTTCCAGTTACCATCAGTGTTCTCTGGAATTTTCCCCCCTGAAGATGGTAATGACCGAACGGTCTTGAGATACCTCTGGCATTTCCTTAGTCATCCATGTACAGAAAAAAAAAAAGTGAAAATAATTAAATTACCCCATGTTTTCCAACAAATTTGCCTTTAGATTAATCTGCCCTGGGGTATAGGCTGGGAAAGGTTTAAGGGCAGAAGAGTTTAAGTGGAAGGGAAGGGTTGTAGTGAGGTGGGGCTTTAAGCAATGGATCCTTTCTTTCAAGAAGCCCATGTTTCCCTGGGCTTGAGTTTTTCCTCCAGAGTGTCAGGGACCGCAGGGAGCAGGCACACACAGTCCTGTAGGTTTACCGACCAGCTTGAATGAGGGCCTGCGATAGGGGCTTGACAGCGCCTCCCGGAGGCCGCCAGGCTGCTGTTCCCTTCCAAATCCGCTCTCCTAAAGGGCTCTTGGCGGCTGCGCTCCAGGCCGCGACTGCTGGTGACATGCCGAGCCACGCATTGCGATCGATCACGGCTGGTGCACCTCCGCTGGCCTGGGCAGGCGGGGTCCCTTCTATGGCGCTTAAGCCTGGGGATGCCCGGTCAGGGTCTCCACGGTGGTGATCTCTGGATACCAGGGGTTCCCACAGGGGCCGAGCAAGAGGTGACCCCAGGCACAGAAACACGGCACATTGAAGCCTCGGCGCGCTGGCCCACGGCTTTCCCAGCGGCTCAGTGAGGGGTGCCCCGCAGGGTGGTAGTGCAGCGCGAGCGCGGACCGCCGGCGGGCTCCACTCCCGCACAGACTGCCACCCAGGGGCGGGGAGCCCGGAGCGCCGCCCCGCTAGCGCGCCCCGCCCTTGGGAGAGGAGGGGCTGCGGCGGCGGACCACTGGAGGCGCAGCACCGCCACCACCGCTGCTGTGGGTACAGGAGACCGCGGCTCCGCGCAGGCGGCGCCCGCGCCTCTGCTCCCCAGCCAGCCAGCCAGCGAGCCTGTCCACCGGCCCGGGCAGCCTCCTGCCTCCCGCCGCTGCCGCCGCACAATCGGTGGCGCCTCTAGCCTTCCAGGTAGGTGTCTTCGCTGCAGAGAGAACCCCTGGAGCGGACACGACTGTTCCCGCACCGCTGCCCGGGGTATCGTGGGGTCCAAAGGGCCAAGGACCCTGAGGGACTAGGGGGTGGGCAGCCTGGCTTTGGGGCTCGTAGTCTTGGGGGACTCCCCGGGCGGGATAACCCCAGCAGCTGGGTGTCGGGGAGGCAGTGCTAGTTCAGCCCCGCGGCCGAGGTGGGAGGGGGCGTCTGGGTCGTGGTCCCTACTCGCCGCCCTCCCCTCCCCCTCGTTGTTGGGGAATTCCAGAGGGCTGGCTTTGGCGCCCGCATCCCCCCACGCCCCGGGCGCCCTCAGGCTGCTGAGGATGAAGCTGGGGCTGGGAGAGGGACTGATGTAATTGTCAGCGGAGAACCGAACCCGCGTGCAGATGAGAGCGCCTGCTCCAGCTAACGCCTACGCTGCACCTTTCAGGGAATCCGGGGAGTGGGGAGGAGCGGCTCGCGAAGTTGTGCATTGGGTTTTATTGTGCGCGTGCACTGCGGACTGCCCTCTCGGGGCACCCCTGCCCACCAGCTGCCGGCGCTTCTGCATTCTTCCCTGCAGCCTTCGCCCATCCCCAGGCCAGAGCCGAGTCTGCCTTCCTCGGTTCAGACCGGGACAGGGTTTGCATTGCAGTCAAGACGTGCATCTCTTGCTTCCAGCCGGGAACTGCCTGCCCACTGATCTAGTCACCCGGGTTGCTGGGGGAGAAGGCGAGGGAGACCTGGGGAGGAAGCCAGGAAGAAGTAATGACACCAACAGATTTATTTTTTAAAACCTCTAATGTCTTTGGACACATCTGCATGACACATTTTAAGCATTTTTTTTGAAAGTTATTACCTATACTGATTTTATGGCAGTTCTGTGACATACCTGAACGGTAGCTTAACCATAGAGACCTAAAGATGGGGAAAGCATTACATAATGGACATGAAGCAAATGACACGAAACTAAGTGAACACACTGGGTTGCCAGATGATTTCTTTCTCCCGGACGCAAAGTCCTATAGAATTTTTCTATATTAGAATTTCCATTTTAAATTGCTGGACTAGTTTTAGCAAATTGTATATCATACTCAGTTGTGATATTTTCCAAATAAAATAATTTTTTGAACGTATTTTCTTAAATTTAAACATTTCATGCTAATGGTGGTTTTGCATCATAGAGCTGATGCATACGTGCGGTCTTCCGTCAAAAGTAAAACGTAAAAATATCCTTTTTTAATATCCTTAACTTTGTTTTTCTCTAGGCTCTATCTCCTCTCCCCCTTTGTTTTTTGGAAACATTTCTACAGTTTTAGATACTGCAAGCTCACAATGTTGATATTCCTGTCGAATGCTACAGCATTGCAGATACAAAGACTAATAATAAATGAAACAGAAGACCTCACAGTAACTCAGAGTGAGCAGAGTTCCCAAGGTCGAAGGGAAGCTGCAGCATACGGGGCTGAAATCACCTACAGAGAATATGCATAGCCCTCATTGGGTTATAAGGAAGGCCCTGATTGGTGGAATGTTATTCCTATTATTCTTTTGCCCCTGGATTTCCTGTGTTTCTCCCTCAAAACATTTTTTCTTAAAGTAGAAACAAACTATTTTGAAATTAAAATCTCTACTTTTAGAAAACCCAAAAATCCTGTTTTTGCTCATATTTTCAGTTTTGATGATGATAGCTCAGTTATGCATTCAGTGGCTGCATTCCTTTTGGGATATCTCAGTTTCGAATTATGATGGTTTATCAGATGGCTCTTGGATATAGTATAAAGTGATCCTTTTGGCCTTTTACAGGATCACATAGTTTAAGTTTTCTTGTCCTTAGATTGCTCTAACCTTAAGGTAATTTTACTCTAAGAAGAAAGGTAAAGTCTTTTCAGGATGAAATGTTTGTGGTTGGAGATCTGTAGAAATAGAATTAGGTTAATGCATAAGTAGATAAAAGTTTTATGTGACTTTATGAAACTGTTAGATGAGGGAGAAGATTTAAATTTTATTAAAATGCTTGGGTTGGGTAGCATTTAGTAATCATTCAATGGATAGTTACTTATTGAGCACCATCTGTTCAAGACACTGGTCTAGGCATATGGAAGATACAAATAAGGATAAAAAGATGTCCCTTCCCTCAAGAGTTTGTAGTCTAGTTTGGGAGGATAAGGCAATAATTCGCAAAATAAGAATTTTTTTTTTTTACTGCAAAGTTTAAGTATTAAGTATAATTTTTTTATAGTTTGTTTTTAATCTTGAAAAAAATGTCTCATACTATCTGTAGACTTCTGGGACTCTCTTCCCCATTCAACATTATGTCACTAAGATTAATTTCTTATGTGTCTATAACAAAATGTTTCCTGTTCTCCTGTCAATGGATTTTTTTTATCCATTTAAAAAAATGTCAGAGTGCTGCTTTCATCATTCCTGTTTTCTGGGGCACATGTGCAAGTGTTTCTCTTGGGTAAATACCAAGGTACAGAATTTTGGATTTGTAGGGTGTGTGAACATTCAACTTACTAGATATTACCAAATTATTTTCCAAAATTGTACCGATTTACACAAGCCAGTGAAACAAGCAAACACAAATTGTCACATACAAACAAGCATTTGTGTGTGTGTGTGTGTGCGCGTGTGTGTGTTGAAATACACATTTTATTATTTTTTTTTAAAGCAAGAGAATGATGAACTTACAACTTGGGATAGGAGTTGTCTTTTGGGGGGACCAGGAGGACGGCATGGGGAGGAACATATAGGTGGATGTAAATTATTGATAATTATATGGTACTCGGGTTTGGTGGTAAATTTATAGGTAACCATTAAAAAAAAAAGTGATGCATGGATCAGTGATTATTTTAAACTTCCAAGGAAAAACAAAATAAGGACAATACTGAGTGATCAGAAGGCAGAAGAGGCTACGGTACCAGAAGACCCACAAGATGACAGCTGGGGGATGTGGAAGCAGACCCTGTGCATAGGCCGAGTTGCCAAGCGTTCATGGTAGTGACTTACAGGAAAGGTGAGCAGGAAGTGGCCTTGCTGAGAAGGGGGAGGCCATCTCAGACAGAGGAAATGATATGAACAGAAGTGGAAGAAGCCATGTGCAATTTTCCAACAGTGAGCCACTCAAAGCGTTCATAAAAAAGTCTAGAGAACTAATAGAATCGGGTGTGTGGAGGGGCGGAGAACCAAGGCATGGCCCCTACTTAGGAGGCTGCTAATTGAGGTGAGAGTTTTTCATTTGGAGAAACCTAAAAGATGAATTCCTTCTGATAGGGCCAATGTCTCAGAACATCTAAATAGTAAGCTGACAAAAGACAGAGCTAGAAAGAAGGCCAACCCAACAAGTAGCTTAATATCCAGGAATATCTAAGGGATAACTGAGTTAAAGATAGCGTTAAGTATGTAACTTAACTCTTAAACTTAATTTAAGTAAGTAGGTAAGTTTAAGTAAAAATAAGTTTAAGTAAAATCATTTATGTAAAACATTGGCACATTGTCATTTGAGAATGTTTCACCTGTGTTATGAGACTGAGTACAAGGAATTCACGATTAAGACAGAAAAAGTATCTTCTTTAGATATGATGGATTTTGTTTTTCTGTTCAAGAAAGCTATGTCAATTTATGAAATATACTTGTATGAAGAAAATACCCACAACATTAAAAGAACTCATATTTGCTTTATGTGCTGATGCTTGACTTAACTTTTTATTAGATTCATAAGGTGTTAGAGCTGAAAGCAGTTTTAAAATTCTTCTATTCCAACCTCCCATTTTCTAGGTGGGAAAACTGAGGCCCAGAGACTTCCCCAATGTGGCACTAGCCCCATGTGCAAATATAGGTAGGAGATCATGTGCGAAGCAATTTATTTCTGTTGGTGATAATAGGAAATAAAAGCTCTTCCCTAAATTATGGATAGGTGAATGAGAAAATGACCCAATAGAAACTTCTGTAGTGGGATTTTAAGCTTCATTTCTATCATTCTCCTTT